TATTTACTACATAGAAATGAGTCTGTCAGGGACTTACTTAAATCCAAACTATTAATGAGAGATACCCAGAGAAGGGCTAGTATTAGAGAGATTAGAGAGGAGACTTTTGTTTATCTGAATTGTCCAGCAAACAACACAATGTATTTGCACATTACTTAGGTAATCTTTTAATTAAATTTGTAAAGATAAACTTCACAGCCTTTAAATCATGCTTTAGCAAACTATTTCCTCTACAAAGATCAGCAGAAATTTCTACAGCATGATCTATAATAGCTCAAAATTCAAATACTTAAAATTCCTTCTACTCATAAAGCACTAGGTAGAAAATGTTTATCAAAAGTCAAATTTACAACTGGTCCATGATAGGGAATTTATATATGTCATTTAATTTTTTTTAATTACTTTTTATTAAATCATAACTTTGTACACTGACACATTTATGGGGTTCAGGGTACCATTTCAATATACAATGTGAAATGCTTACATTGAACTAAGTAACACATTCATCACAATTATACTCATTTCTTAATATATATGTCATTTAATCTTGACATTAAAATTATCACCACGTTCTCATGAGGAAACTGGTGTTCAGAAGTTAAATAAGGGGTCAGGCACAGTGGCTCAGACCTATAATTCTAGAACTCTGGGAGGCTGAAGCCAGTGGATTGCTTGAGCTCACAAGCAGCCTGAGCAAGAGCATGACCACGTCTCTATTAAATATCAAAAAATCAAGGGCCAGGCACAATGGCTCATGCCTATAATCTCAGTATTCTGGAAGGCCAAGGTGGGCCAATCACCTGAGCTCACAGGTTCGAGACTAGCTTGAGCTAGAACAAGACCGTGTCTCTAAAAATAGCCAGGCACTGTAGCGGGCACCTATAGTCCTAGCTATCTGGGAGACTGAGGTAACAGAATCACTTGAGCCCAAGAGTCTAAGGTTGAGCTATGACACCCAGGCACTCTACCAGGGTGCAACAATGTGAGTCTATGTCTCAAAAAAAAAGAAAAACCAGACAGGCATGGTAGCACATGCCTGTAGTCTCAGCCTATAATCCCAGCTACTTGGGAGGCTGAGGCAAGAGTTTGAGGTTGCTGTGAGCTATGACGGAATGCACGGCACTCTACCAGGGCGACACAGTAAGACTCTTTCTCAAAAAAATAAAAATAAAAAAGAATTAAAGGTAAAAGAGTCTAAAGTACCTTTAAATCTACAGGATGCCAAAAAATGTACACATATTGTAAGAAAGAAAAAAATACTGTATTGAAATTAGAATACTCAAGTCATATTTGAACTCTCTAACAAGAGACACAAAATACAACATACAAGATAACAAATGTTATGAGCACATATTATTACAATTTTAATACAGTTTTTCTTTCCTTTCTTAAAATGCATATACAATTTTAGCACCCTCTGTATATAAATATACATCACATGCTCTAAAAGTAAGTCTTCTCAGCTACTATCACAAAAATAGTATATTATGAGACTCGGGACTGAAATAAAGTATTTTCAAATCACTATGAAAAAGTATTTACCACAATATTCACACTGAGACACAATCATAATTAAGGAACAAATGATCATGTGAAACACTACATAAAGAAGTTGCAGAAACACAGAATCTAAGAGGAAAGAATGCACAAAATAGAAGAAAAGATCTAAAAAGGGCAGAGTAGAAGCAATAATAAAGCACAAGGAGTATATTTCAAATCCTCTGACACTGACCTAGAAATTACTTCTACAAGAGATTCAAAAGCCCCCCCCACACTAAAGACACAAAAATGTCCTTCTAGCACTGAACCATAAATATGATGATTTTACAATGCAGTTATGTACAATTCAAGTCTCTACTGGCAAGGTAAAAGCTAACCTGGAGAATTTAGGCCAGGACAAAAATTACTGTTACTTCTTTACTAGACATAACAGAAAGTATCCATGTTGACGATAATAAGCTTTTGATATATCCAGAAATCAATTCAATTCATGAAAATAAAGAACTGTTAACAAGTCTGTTATCATGAATAATTCTCAGCATAAAAAATAAGATGAAGGTTCTAACCTACTATATATATATACAAATAAAAGCATAGATTTTTTTTTATTCTAAATCAAATCAAAACGTTTAAATTATTTTATAAAGTGTTCTATATAATCACTAAATGATTCATTATTCAATGGTTTTTAAAGTTTCTACTGGAATAGATATACAGAAGGCCACTATCCTGTTTAGCTGACGTTAGCCAAGGGAGTATCCATTTGTCCATTCATATTCAACTCCAAATCTTCTTCGAGCTTACCTTTTGATAGGCCAATCCACCTCCCCACAAATGCCCTGAATGCAGAATAATCAATTTAAAACCTATTATCAATTACTTCCTTTTATGGCATATGAAGAATTACCCTTCTTTCTTCTACCATTTCCCCTCCCATTATATTCAAAATGGAATTATCACAGTTTTAGTTAAAATAATAAATGTGTATATATTTTTGAAAGTCTATTTTAAATATCAGTAGGTTTTCCTCATTTGTTATTACATGAATAAAATTCTTATAAGTAACTATTTCAAAGTTTAAAAAAAAGAAAATGAAAAATTTTAAGCTAACCATTTATAAAATTTTTAAATGAATTTATTTCTTTAGCAAACAAAGATATAATGTTTACAGTATGTCAAGTACCAATGGTTTAAGTGCTTACATATAAGTCATGCAATCTTCATAATATTTTCATGAATTAAGCATTATTATTATCTCCATTTCACAGATGAGGAAATTTAGGTATGGAAAAGTTGAGACATGTTCCCTAGGAGCCCAAATTGAAATGCAGATAGTCTAATTCCAGATCAAATTCCTTAGCAGCATACTGAAACACCTCTCCAATGTGATGAAAACACTTAAAAATTCCCTAAAGTGAAACTGCCCAAAATCATGTATTTTATGGGAGCCTTTGGAGAGGGGAAATATACTACTATAAAATTATAAGGCATTAAATCAATTATTAGACTTATATAACAGAAATCATCCTTTTAAAAGGAGTGTATTTGGCTTAGTTCATATTATCAACTCAAAATAAATCTCCAAAGGAAAATAGCTATGTATGTTTAAAATGTAATTTTATGGCTGGATGCGGTGGCTAATGCCTATAATCCTGGCTCTCTGGAAGGCTGAAGCAGGTGTATTGCTTGAGCTCAGGAGTTTAGAAACCTGAGCAAGAGAGCAAGAAACTCTACTAAATAGAAAAAAACCGGCCAGCTCAGTGGCTCACACCTGTAATCCTCCCACTCTGGGAGGCCAAGGCAGGTAGATTGCTTGAGCTCACAACTTCGTGACCAGCCTTACCAAGAGAGAATTCCCATCTCTACTAAAAAATGAAAATCTGAGGCAAGAAGATCACTTGAGCACAAGAGTTTGAAGTGGCAGTGAGTTATAAAGGCCCTACCCCTCTACCAAGGGAAACAAAGTGAGACTCTTATCTCAAAAAAACAAAAAAAAACAAAAAAAAACAAGGAAAAAGAAACAAAACTAGCCAGGCATGGTGATAGCACCTGTAGTCCCAGCAACTTGGGAAGCTGAGACAAAGGATGGCTTAAGCCCAAGAGTTTGAGGTTACCATGAACTATGATGATGCCAAGGCACTCTACCCAGGGTGACAGAGTAAGACTTTGTCTCAAAAGAAAAAAAACTAAATAAGAAATAAAAATATAAAATAAATAAAATCTGTGTCTTTTTAAAAAATAAATATAATTTAATTTTTTAGATTTTTATCATTAAATGTATTATTAGACAGAAATATGAAATTTAAATTTTATAAGCATCAAGAACACCAATATAGGCTCGGCGCCTATAGCTCACCCGGCTAAGGCGCCAGCCACATACACCTAAGGTGGCGGGTTCGAATCCCCAGCCCGGACCCGCCAAACAACAATGATGGCTGCAACCAAAAAATAGCCGGGCGTTGTGGCGGGCGCCTGTGGTCCCAGCTACTTGGGAGGCGGAGGCAGGAGACTCGCTTGAGCCCAGGAGTTGGAGGTTGCTGTGAGCTGTAATGCCACGGCACGCTACCCAGGGGGAGAGCTTGAGGCTCTGTCTAAAAAAAAAAAAAAAAAAGAACACCAATATAAGGCAGTGCCTATAACTCAGTGGGTAGGGCACTGGCCACATACAGCGGGGCTGGCAGGTTCGAATGTGGGCTAGGCCAGCTAAACAACAATGACAAGTACAACAACAATAAAAAAAACAGCCAGGCATTTTTTTGTGGCAGGTGCCTATAGTCCCAGCTACTAGGGAGTCTAAGGCAAGAGAATCGCTTAAGCCCAAGAGTTTTAGGTTGCTGTGATGCCACAGCACTCTACCAAGAGCAACATAGTGAAACTGTCTCAAAAAAAAAAAAAAAAAAAAAGAACACCAATATAAGTAACAAAGAGATTTTTCTTTCATAAATTACATACTAATAAAATATAGAAATGTAATAATGGATTTATTAGAAGTAATTATTATTAATAAAGACCATAAAAACAGAAATTTCAAATTGATGATCTATTTCCCACTTCATTCCTTTAATAATCCTTGATATATAAAGTATAACTTTATCATGAGATTAGAAAAATTGTTACATTTCATATTCGTTCAGTAAATTAGACAAATTTTTTAAACAATTTTTCATCGTACCTGTGACAACTATCTAGGGATACACTCTGAGGAGAAATCTCTATCTCTATCACCCACTGTTTTTTGTTTCTTTTTTGCTAACAGAGACATTGCTCTTGCATTATCTCCCACTTTTAAAACTGTGAAAAGAAAAATAAATTTTAAGTAAAAAGTAAAAATTTAGTTGTAGTCTTGTTCTCTCACTAAGTAACTGTGTGATGTAGGCTTCCTTCAGAAGCCACTATGGGCTTCAGTATTCTTGTCTTTAGAACGAGAAACTTAAATTAGATAATACCCACACATCTGTATATTGCTAGAACTCCTAAGACTTTTAAACTTTAAATCTCACCTCATCTGAAGAATCTACTTGTCCCAATGTTCCTGTTGCACCTGCAAAACCTTCAGAGGGGAGAAAAAAAAGTTGCCCTTCAAAGTTGCCATACACTGCTTTACTTTAAAATTATTTTTGAGACATACAAATATTAATACAAAAAAGCTAAATCTGTTATAGTTCTCATGAGTTAGAGCCAAACTTAATATACTAACCAAATTCCATTTAAAGGAAATGCATTCTCTAGCCAGTCTATTCTTTTTTGCCTCTAAATTTCTACCATTTTTCCTACTTTTCTTACAAAGAATGACATTGTTTTAGCTCAAAATAAATTTATTCAGTAATGAGTAAAGTTTGAGGGGCTTTTTATTTTAATACAGCAAAGTTACTGATGTTCATATTAAATATTTAGACAAACCTTGAACTGCCAGAGTACTAGTACCAGCAGATGACTCCTGCATACCATATACAAGTTTATCCTCAGGATATGTAAGTCCAGAGCTCTTCAAAGCTATGAGGTACTTTTCATGACTTTTCTTTGCACAAGCATTTTCTCCATGACCTAACATTTAAAATAAACTTAAAATCAGTAAAATACAAAAAAAAAAACCCAAAATATTCCATTCAAAATCTAAGTACAAACATTTCACTAATATGTGTAAATAAAATTGGTGAATATTTTCTAATGAAGGGAGAATGAATAATATAAAATAACTCCAGATAAAATTTTTGTGCTTATGTTTGGCATTATCAATCCTAGAATGCATAGCATGTTTATGAAAACAATGAAATCTGCTAACTGATTAAGCATCTAAAATATCCAAGGGAATATATGCAAGGCACAGAGGTGCAAACATTAACTAACAAGGCATGAGACTAGCCTTCAAGAAACTTGAAAATTAAAGGTAAATAAACACAGGCAGATAACACAGTAGATGATAATTATGAAGCAGACCTCACCAACTGGTTTGAGAACATGCACTGTCATAGTACTAAGAATTCAGACATATATCTAAAGCATGGTACTGAGGAAAAAAAAAAAAAAAAAAGGCTTCCTGGAGAAGATAATACCTGAGTGGAATTTTCAAATATTATAAATGAAATTACTTTTATTTCCTCTTTTACTAAGCTTTTTATTATCCCATTTAAGAAATAAAAGCGTACTTTCTATAGAACCAATTAAGACTAATTTATTCCCCAAAATACTGAAAAGTTTAAGTTCTATAATTAAACATTCCTAGAACTTTCATTATAGTATTTCAGCTTACTAATGACAATTTTTTCTTTTATTTTTTAATACACTATGGAGCATAGGATAATAAAGAAAAACATGGCTCGGCGCCTATAGCTCAACCAGCTAAGGCGCCAGCCACGTACACCTAAGGTGGCGGG